TTTTTTTTTTTTTTTTGACCCGGAAACCACGGGTGCCGGAGCCTAACTGGATCCTGTGTTTTCGCGGCGCGAGTCCAGTTACCCTCTGGTCCTCGCGTGGGCCCCGCTGAGCCGGACGCTGCCCCCGGCGCGGCGGGGAGGATGGTGCCGAGCGGCCCCGGGCCCGCCGCGCGCCGCCGAGAGTGAGCCCAGCACGGCCGCGGGCGTCCATCAAACAGCTGGCCCGACCGGGCTCGGGGTGCGCCGCTGCCCACCGGGGCGGGGTGAGCCGGGACGGCGGGCGGGCGGGAATTGGGTTCCGCCGGGGTTGCCCGCGGGGCCGGGAGGGAGCCGTCTCGTCCGGAACGACCCTTCCGCCTCAGCCGCCGGTGGGGGTTGCTCGGCATCGGCCGGCCTCGGCCTGGTCCTCCCCACCGAGGCTTGCCCCCCATCATCCCTAGAACAAGGGCTCCCTGCTCGCGGTCGAGATGGGGGACTTCTCTCTCGTATGGAGGCCTGGATAATTTAGATTTGGCACGGAGAGCATTTTGGTCGTTTGCCGTTTTTGACTTTGGGTTGTGTTTGCCTTACTTCTCGGTTTGCAAATTAGAGATACCTCAGGAAGAAGGCGGGAGGCTTGGAGACTTACGTGCGGAAACTTGAAATAGAGGCGTTCTATGTGGCAGACTTGGTAGATATCCAGAATAGAGTGGATTCTTACCTTTACTGATGTTTTAATAAAGTAAGGAATGATTGCAAGGTAATTTAGAGACATGTCCAATTCTCTTGATGGGCACTGTCAATACAGCTAGGCCTGTTGTTCTGTTTTGAATTGTCTGAACTCTGTAAACGTTGGGCAGCGGGGAACGGGGACTTTGATGAAGAATATCATGTCTGAGTTTCGTCTCAGCAAATTACAGCCCTCACTGGGTGATGAATGGTGAGCTTCTTTGGAGCCTGCTTTGGTAAGATTGTGGCCACTACGGGAGTTAATAGGAAGAAAAACTCTTAAGGCTGCTGATGACTATTTGATAAATTGGTTTAACCCCTGTAGCACCCTTTTTGATCATCTCGGGTGCTTGGGGTCTGAGCATCTGTATCCCATTTGTAGATGAATGCTTCATCACTGCTTAACAGGTAAGAGTGCCTTCCTGCTACCGCATTTCATCTAAGGTTTCTCAAAGGAAATGGACCTGTTGTATACCTAAGGTATACTTCATGGCTCCAAGTGCATTTACTCTCTAGAGAGTAAAAGGACAGTGTGGTGACTTAGTAGTAAAGGTGTGGGAAGAATTTATGTGACCTGATTGAGGTGGGCTAGAAATCAGGGCTGGCACTGGAGTCTGCATTCTGAGAGGACATGCTGATTGAGGGCTCCTTCTCTGGGCAGCTGCTGCCCAAGGGGAAGAGATAGATAGAGCTAAGTGCAGATGTTTTTGTTTGTTTTTGAGACAGAGTCTCACTTTGTTGCTCTCGGTAGAGTGCCCTGCGTCATAACTCAGAGCAACCTCCAACTCTTGGGCTGAAGCGGTTCTCTTGCCTCAGCCTCCCGAGTAGTTGGGACTATAGGTGCCTGCCACAACGTCTGGCGATTTTTTTTTCTTTCTTTCTTTTTTTTTTTTTTTTTTTTGTTACGTTCGGTGTGGCTATTGCTGAGGCTGGGCTCCAACCCAGGAGCTCAGGGGATCCACCCCCTTCGGCCTCCCAGAGTGCTAGGACAAGTGTGAGCCAAGGCACTGGAGGAAGTGCAGATGTTTTCTGCCCTGAGGAACTTATTTAGGAAAGCAATAAGCTAGAAAATGTGGCAGGACTTAATTGCCAACTGTTTTGTTAGGGTGAGGCTCAGAAAAGGTTTATAAAGGAAGTGACTTTTGAAGTGGACCTAGAAAGATCAGGAAGGTTTCAGGCGTTCTGAATTAGCTGGGAAATGAAAAAACTAAGACCTGTTTGGCGGCGCCTGTAGCTCAGTGGGTAGGGTACCCACATACACCGAAGCTAGTAGGTTCAAGTCCAGCCAGTGCCAGCTAAAACAACAATGACAATTGCAACAACAACAAAAAAATGGCAGGTGTTGGGGAGGGGGGCACCAGTAGTCCCAGCTACTTGAGAGGCTGTGGCAAGAGAATCACTTAAGCCCAAGAGTTTGAGGTTGCTGTGAGCTGTGACCCTACAGTACTCTACTCAGGGTGACAGCTTGAGACTCTGTTTCAGAAAAACAAAACAAAAACTAAGGCCTGTTTGTGAAAGAGGACCCAGGCTAGATAGCTGGACTTAGGTGTATTGAAGTAGAAGTATTGGCTGAGGCTGCTGGTTATGGTAAATGCTTTTCTAAGAAAGGGGAGTGTGTGCTATCCAGTCTGGCTTTCTGGTTTCTAAAGTATTGTTTTCATTTGTTGAGTTTGCTTTGTTCTATTAACAGCCAGTGGTATAAAGCAGTGTTTAACTTATTTTAAGGACAATGAAAAAGAAGCTGATTGTTATTCCTGTCTGGTATTAATCAGAAAATTAAATTTGGTGTTTGCACGTTGTTTCGGTGACTGTGTTTAGTTTGCAGGAGCACAGCTTACTAATATGGTTTCTGCAGCTCTGGCTGCAGTCACGTAATAAGTGGCAAGCCCTTAAGTCATCTCCAGAGTGTTTTAGTTGACATCTAGTCCACTTCATAGGGATGGTGTTTATTTCTCTTACCAAGTATTGTTGAAGAACCTTTGAAGCCATTCAAACAGGATGCCTTGAGTTTGCCCTGGAACACTATGAATAATCTTAGGACCTCACTAGCTTCAATCTTAGCCCGTATTTTTATTTTTAAGTTTTGAAAACATTTGCACTTTTGAAATGTACAATACCATTAGCTGTTGACATTACGTCGGGTAATAGAACTAATACAAAACCCCTCAAATGTATTCCTCTTGTCTGAGATTTAGTACTCCTTGACCATCATCTCCCTAGCCCACCATCCCTCTAGTCTCTGTAACTACCGTTCTGCTCGAGTTCATTTGTTTTAGATTCTGCGTATAAGGAAAATCATATATTGTCTTTCCGTGCCTGACTTGTTTCACTTAGCATAATGTTCACCAGATCTATCCATGTTGTTGCAAATGTGAGGATTTCTGTCTTTTTAAAGGCTGAATAGTATTCTATTGTGTGTATATACCCCATTTTCATCATCTGTGCATCTGTTGACTAAGGCTTTGCTTGATTCTATAAGTTAGTTATTAAGAATAGTGTTACAGTGAACATGGGGTGCAGACATCTCTTTTTCTTTTCTTTCTTTCTTTCTTTTTTTTTTTTTTTAATTTTTTTTGCAGTTTTTGGCCAGGGTCGGGTTTGAACCCACCACCTCCAGTATATGGGGCCGGCGCCCTACTCCTTGAGCCACAGGTACCGCCCTCTTTCATTTATTTGATAAAAACCATACTGACAGGTGTGAGAAGGTATCTCATCATGATTTTAATATACATTTCCCTAATGATTAGTGATGTTGACATTTAAAAATATATCTGTTGCCCATTTTTAAGTCTTTTGAGAAATCTCTATCCAAGTCCCTTGCCCATTTTTTAATTCCTACAGATTGGGCGGTGCCTGTGGCTCAGTGGATAGGGCATTGGCCGCATATACTGAGGATGGTGGGTTCGAACTGGTCCGGCCAAAGTGCAACAGCTGGGCGTTGTGGCTGGTGCCTGTAGTCTTAGCTACTCAGGAGGCTGAGGCAAGAGAATCGCCTAAGCCCAGTAGTTGGGAAGTTGCTGTGAGCTGTGATGCCACAGCACTGTACCGAGGGTGATAAAGTGACACTCTGTCTCAAAAAAAAAAAAAAAAAATTCCTACAGATTGTGAGGATATATTTACAAGCCATACAGCCAATAAGGGTTTGATATCCAAAATATATACGGAACTCAAACAACTTAACAGCAAGAAAACAAACAAACAAAACCTAATTGAAAAATGGGCAGAGGACCCCTCAGCCTTTCTTTAAAATGATGGAGGAAGGAGTTTAGCAAGTTGAACTTAGGTTTACTTTGCTAAACATGGAAATCTTTATTTTTCCCAAGTATAAATCAAATAAATTTGACGAAAGGTCTATAGTACTCCCTCTGTGTATAATTACATACCTCTGTCTCTCCTGACTTGCTTTCTTAAAAACTTAACCCCCAAATTATTAAATTGTAATATAGGAGTGCTTTTAATTTTAGTTTTAAGGTGGTCAGCAATTGAAAGAAATCTAAAGAAGAGAATAAGTTATTTTCAATCTTAGGACTATGGTGAATGTAGTTTTTTAAAAAAAGAGGTGGGGGTCAGGTGTACTGGCTCATGCCTATAATCCTAGCACTCTGGGAGGCCCAGGCAGGTAGATTGCCTGAGCTCACGGATTCAAGATCAGCCCAAGCAAGAGCAAGGCCCCATCTCTCTCTCTTTTTTTTTTTTTGAGACAGAGCCTCAAGCTGTCGTCTTGGGTAGGGTGGCATCACAGCTCACAGCAACGCTCAAGTGAGTCTCCTGCCTCAGCCTCCCAAGTAGCTGGGACCACAGGC